GTCCTCTTCCACCAATCCCAACTCTGCTACCCACACGCCGAGTACGCTGCTCTCCTCCAATCAGGAGCAGCTCCTGCTGTTTATTGGTTGAACTGGAGGCAGCTGTGTAGAAGCTGTTTCTCCCTTCTCAGCGCCATATTGTGGGAGAGCAGATGCATAGAATAAGTCTTAATTCCAGTAACTTAGTCTAGTCCGAGTTGCTCCCCACAAGTAAGGGTCTGAATTTTGAATGAAACCTGTTAAATATGGTTGGAGAGAAGGCAATGATATGTGTTGATAACTTGGGTGTCAGGGTGCTGGTGGCAATGGAGAAATATCAAATGACGTAGAAGACAGTAGCTGTTCTCACCAAGTTGCAGAATGTCAGAGGAAGGGCAGATATAGGCAAAGATAGTGGCATTTGAGGTGCTGGACACACGAGTCCTAAGCCCAGGGCTCGCAGCTGAAGTCTTAAGAGTTGGAGGAGACTCACAGAAGCAACAGAGCACCAGGGAGGTGAGGGCGGCACACTGAGTTTATTACCCAAACAGAAGGTGTGTGTTCGAAAGGGCTGGGGAAAGAATTGATAGCAGGGTGGGGAGGAGAATCAGGCATGAATGCCATTGCAGAGAACCAGCAGAGACTTCCAAATGCCATTGAGAAAATTAAAACCAAACCAAATCCAACCCAACCCCTTAGGTTTGGCAATTAGGAGACATTTTTGGAACCTTATGCAGAAAAGATTTCATAAGACAAAATAAAGCAAAAAGATCATCACCAAGGTGCCTGGAACTTGCTTATTTAAAGTTAGTATCAAGTGGACCGACTGTGACTTTGCATGGTCTTGTTTTTTATCTTTTGGTGCTAAGCGTTAGGATTACTTGTCAGGAGAGAGATGATTTGGTGGCTCTAAATTTCACCTTGCAAGTGACATGGCCCAGTGATCACACTTTGGGGGGGAAGGAGAGCAGGTGAGGTCATGTCTGGGCACTTTGCGGTGATCTTTGTGTAAACTTTTTGGGTGGAGCAGCTGGATACCTCCTTGAAAGTGATTTCAGGTAAGGGAACACAAACACAGGGACCTTCTTAAGACAAAGGCCCCTTGGGTTTTCTACATACCACTCTCGATATGTGTCAATATTTCATCTGGAAGTTAAACGCACGTCCTTACAGCTGTCAGAATCCTGTGATTGGTGAGCATTCCATTTCCCAATCTAACGGTCAAAGGACTAGTCATTGCCTCCATGGAAGCATTTAAAGTGATGATTTATAGCCATCTTTGAAGAGGTTTATATTAGGAAAATATTTTGCATGCCTTGTGGATGAATGTACCTCACTCAAACTTTGAGCAACTTATTTAAAATGTTGCTTTTGAGACATGGAAAAACTGACAAAAACAGGTTCATGGTTTACAAGAGTGTTTTCTGAGAAACTAAACATTAGTAGTAGATACTGAAGGAATTGCTTAATTTAGAGCATAAAATTCCGAGGGACACACATTTCTGGACACTTTAATTTTACCTCTAGAAGTCGCATTAAGGGAAAATAAAAGAGTGACAATAATGACAATAAGAGCAAAATTATAATAAGAGGCCCCTTTATTCCCAGTAACAGAATACCTGGCCAGTTAGAGAAGGTTCAGACTGGAATTAGTGTCATTGAAGTTCAGCTCTATTCTCTGTATGGACACATCTGTCCTTTCTGGCCACAATATGCCTGAGAACGTGTTGGAGAGAAAACCTCCAAGGGGCTTAGTGTTCAAAGTAAATTGAACGCTATGTGGAGCGGTATGAAAAAAGAGCCGGAAGCTGTTTATGTGTCTGGTTTTGGCTACTAAGATGATGACAATGAGTACCACAATTAGACTTTTTAAAGACCTTTCAAGAAAATTAACCTAGAAAATTTACTTATAAAAATAAGATGGGGAAGGACATGGATACATATCAAGAACAAGAGCGCAGTGAGGGAAAGGACGGAGGAGAACAGCTCCCCTATAACAGAATATCTCACAACGATGGAAAAGCGAGGAGAAGGTGCAAACATAAAATACGGATGATGTCAAAGAGAACCATGGTGCACAATACTCTCGCCCTGACAAAAACCGGGAAAAGAAATATCTATATAGATATCACCTTAGTTTCATACTTAATTCCTTCCGTAAGTCAGAGTCAATTCCAAATACATTAAAGAAGGAAGAAGGGAAGTCAGCAGTGTGCAGACCACAGACATGTTCATTTGAAAGAGATGACACCAGGGAACACCAACTCACTTAGCAGGAAACCTGGTGTGCAACAAAAACCAATAGCAATAAAAGAAAATGCAAACAAAAATATATCAAATATTTGCACAAATGAGACCAACATGTAACACATGCTAACACTAAATAAGAATTTACATATGAGAAGATCGCTTAAATGTCAACAGCTAAGACCTCCTTCCCATACATCCTGTAAAAGGGAAAAATACAAACATTAAACTAATAAAACTGAAAGTGTTCGACTCAATGGTAATGAAAGGAAATGGACTTAAAACACCTCTTTAGTATTGTTCATTATGTAATCAATTCAGAAAAATCGTAAAAATCTCGTTCTGTCAGGGCTATACCTGTAAGGTAATAAAAACCTATTTTTTTTAATCAGCCTTATGACTATTCTAGGCAAAGGATGCAAAGTAAGAAAATAATTTTCAAATGTATATATGAAAATATTTGGTTCTTCTAATAGGAAAGGTTCTGGTAACAACAAGAATAGATAAATAAATTCTGATATCTTGACTTCATGGAGTGTGCTACAATCGATAAAAGGATTATGACTAGTGTGTAGGGAAGATGTTAAAGCAAAATATACCAACTTGGTTTATTGCTTATTTCAAGCTGAAATCTCTGGAGGAACTGTAATTTCTGGAAGGGCCATTTAGCCCGTTTTTTTCCTACAAGCAGCAGACCCTAAAGACTGTTATAAGCAGGGCATCTGTCTCATCTCAAGGTTGGAAAACAGCCTTGATCGTAGGAGACTGGGAATTGGGGATGCAAGGAGCCTCATCAGTGTGATGTGGCCTTATCTCCCCAACTTCTGCATCTTCCTCTCCCATTCCTACGATTCAGAACTCTATTTCCTATCTCCATTCCTTCTCACACTTATTGCTCTGCATCTGAAAAGCATAAAAGCATCATGCCTTGGGCCTTTCTTCAGACTTCATTATCTTAAGATTCTCATGAACATGTGAAATGATTAAAACTTTTGCTTGTCTCTTGCTAATCAGCTCTGCTATTAATTTGACTTCTAGATCCAGCCAAAGAACTCACAGAAGAATTAGAGCAATGTTTGTGAATTTTTAGCCTCAAGTGAAAAAATGCTATGATAATTACACGAAGTGTGTAATTGTGTGGATAAAGACTAAATGATCACCTGCTATCAGGGAACTAGCTATGGCTGTGGATTGTTTTTCTTTTTAAGTTTCCTTTCATATATTTTGGATGACAGATACAAAAAAAGAAAAATATCATTGTACACAAGAGAACAAGAATGGAAGAAATCAATCAGTGTAAATTCATCCCAGTTTTTTGGAAAAAGATCACAACGTATGTCTTTAAGGACCCATAGCACAGTTAACTAATAATTGGTACTAAGCTAGTAATACCCACAGACAGACATATGGGGAGACTGGTTGACATTTAAACTTTCTGTCCACATCTTATAAAGAATTTCAAGCACATAGAAAAGTTAAAGTAGAAGCTGCAAATGAACGCTGGCATCCTCGCACTGAGATTCCACACTTGTTAGCTTTCCCTCTGCTTGCTTTTACCTTATCACCTGTATCCAATTACTCGTTTTTTGGATGCGTTTCAAAGTAAGTTACAGACATCCAGTTCAAATTTTAACCACCTCGGCGCTCCCCCTCAGAGTGAAGCAATTACATCAGACCTCATTTCCCATACCTACACGGTGTATGTCACACAGACTCAAAACTGGCTGCCTATCAGAACACAAAGCTTTCCAAACCTTACTCTGACTCTATGGACACATTACGGTCTACTTTGTTCAACTTACGGATGATTAAAGCAGGAAACGGAAACCACCTGGGAGCGGGCAAATGCCAGCAGTGAAGACATCCACACTGCACAGTGGAATACCTGAATAGGATTCCCCGCTGTGGCTCCCAACTCGGACTCCACTGCAATGCAGACCCTGGGAGGCAGCCGTGACGACTCAAGTAATTGGGTTCCTGCCACTCCCATGAGAGCCTGGATTTTGTTAATAGTTCCTGACTTACGCGGCCCAGCCCCAGTCATTGTAGATGTTTGGGGAATGAAGCAGTGGGTGGGAACTCATTCTCTCCACCCCCCGCCCCCCCCAACAAATAAAAAACGCAGGATATTTATAAAGTAACAAAACAAAGAAAGGGGAACCATCTTCTCTGGAGTCACCAACTCCAAAATTTTCAGGAACTAAAAAGGTAACATACAAAGCGGGCTTGTGTAAGCTAATTGGGCAGATCTGGTGAGGGAGGTGACCCAGCCTCAGTATGGGGAGGCAGCCAGGAGAAGCGGAGCTACGCAGAGAACCCAAGAAAGCCGAGTTTACCACCGAGACAAGGCTTCTACAACTCATCCTGCCAGCTCCAAGGAGCCCTGTATTTTATCCAGCATCTCTCCTTTTGTCTCCACTGTGGGTCTAGGGCCCTTAAAGGAACACATTTGTTACAATAACTAACATTGTGCCATATTAAAATCTTTCTTTAATTACAAGTATTTATGAATGCAGTATTTGTAGCCATTCAGTTAAATCCACAACAGCAGAAACACACACACAGATATTACAAATGCAAAGATAGGTTAGGGTTCTAGCTTTTGCAAGATCTTTGCCCAGGAAAGCATTATTCTGTCACCTCTGGGTTGACTTCATGTCTGTAATGAACTCAGAAGAGAAAGCGATTTTCCCACTGAACGAAGGGTAGGTCTGGCATCACTTCTGAGGAATGTGCTGGCGTGTGAGGCTTACAAATTAAATAGAAGGACTTACCATGTGGAAGGGTAGGCTAGTGAGAAATGGGGATGTAGAAGAGGCAGGACGTATGATATACTGAGTATGGTTTTCCATGCCTAATTAGCCATCAAACACGGTTGTTCTGCGGCTTTCTGAGAACCGCTCCCTTCTCTTTTTGCACAGTTATCCAGCTCTCGGGTTAGCTAACTTTCACATCTGAGAATCGAAACCACCTGCACTAGGCATGCTCACTGGCTACAGGTGGACTTTGCTTAGAAATCAGAAGTTACAACAATTCCACCCTTACAGTCTTTTCTTTGTTTGCTTGATAATTAACAGTTTGGAAACTCCCTACCTCCCCCTCGCCCACCCCCAGGTGGCTAATTTGAACAGTGTATACTCATATGTCATCGCTATTGTGTTGGCTAGCTATGTTCTGCTATTAAAAAAAGAAAAAAAACCTCCACCCAGTCCTGAAATGCAGTCTCATGCAGTTGTGGGTATGAGTGATAAAATTAGTTTCTCTTGGATGAATGTCTTCTTGTGATAAACTCAACTGCTTTTCTTTCAAAGTTGTGGTGAATAAAACTACTAGTACTCTTTTAGACTATGTCCATACATTGACAAATCAAAATGTATTCATGTTAAATTAAGCCTTCCAAATGTCTATCAAAGTGTTTTTTTCTTACCAGATTCTGCTCAAATTCTTTCATCTAAATGTCATAAATCAAACTCAGCAATTGTTTCTTTCAACTCCACTTCTTTTCATCTCTGCCATGAGTTCCATAAATGTTGGGTTTATTGTTGGCTTATCAATTTTGTAGTTCAAATTTTAGTACAAAATAGTGGTTCTAAGCTCTGGTTTTACAGCTGCAGCCTTTTAAAAAGGGCACATAGTAAAATTCTGAGAATTTTTATAAAGAAAAATTCAATTTTAAAATGTTTTAAAGAACAAATATCATTGAGGGGGGAAGGGAATGGATTTTATAAAGCAAAAAGTCCCAATATGCAAAAGAAAAGGAAACATTTTTCAAATACATTTTTAATAGTCTCCTTCCCAAAACAATGATTTTGACTTGGGTATGTTTTGCAGGTTTTATTGATTAAACAAGTATTTTAGAATAATTTTGTATAACTCTTGCTGTTTGACAGGTATTATTCTGAAGACAGTCACATATAAACACATACGATTCTTTTAATAGCCTTACTAGGTAGGGATTGTGATTGATCCCTTTATACTCAAGGGGAAGTAGAGGCACAGGGAACATAAATTGTTCAAAGTCACATACTGATAATGAGCAGAACAGAGATTCACATCCAGGAAATCTAGCTCCAGAACAGCTCATTTTCTTCACTAAAAGTTAACCAATTTCTACTTAGAATTCCAGAAACACTGGCATGAGTGATGATCAAAATGGACTGAACAGTAAATGAATAACTAAAGCAAACTCTGGATGTTTGCATCATTTGCAGAGTAAACCTTCCCCCCCACCAAAAAAAGAAACCACCAGTACTTGAGTCACCAAACCAGCTTAATCAGAATCTCTCTGGGGGTGCGGTTTAAACAGTTATGTGTTTTAAAATCCAAAAGGTAGTTCCAGTTGTGGAACTTATCTTTAGATCAGTTTTAATATAGGAGATCACAAACTTTAGCATGGATCAGAATCATTTGGAGAGCTTGTTAATAGACAGGTGACTGAAAAAAAAAATAGATAGGTGACTAGCCCCAACCCCATACTTTATTTATTCAAGAGGTATGGGGGAGTACCCAAGAAAAATCTAATAAAGTTCCCAGGTGGTGTTTATATTGCTGGTTTAAAGAGCACTCTTTGAGAGCCAGTGTTTTAATAGGCTGGGCTGGGGTGAAGTGTGGTGATGGAGACCTGGAAGGAACTGGATTAATTTTTCCAGTATCTCATTAATCCCAGTGCAGGAACATTTGTCCTACTTTGTTGATTTATGCAAAAGGACTGATCAACAATGAAGGGAGGAAAGAGAGAGGACAGATAGGAAACCAAAGGGAAGTGAGGGAAAATAGATAAAGAAGAAGAATCAATTCCTGGTTGGTCAGTGAAGGTTTTTGGCCTTCTCAAGGACTCCACTACACATTGGTGATAGATTGAATGTAAAATGAGAAGAATTTAAAGATAGTTACACTAAGAAAATCCTTTTATACCACAAAGAGAACAGAAACAAAAGGCAATGAGTGGGACTGGATGATGGCAGAGACAACCATGGGTTCAGAGTATGGAAAAGTGGTTAGTTCAGCTCCTACAGGTTAACTTGGAAACCAGAGCCTGGGTCACTCTCTGCAACATAGGGCAGGGGGAGACGTATAATTTCCCTCCTGAGTGCCATGAAAGGAGACTGAAATGAACTGGTCCTAGGTTACACAGGGGTAGACCAGTGGTTCTCAGGTGTGTCTGTAGGGGGTGGACTGGGAGAGATCTTTCCCCCTCCCATACCACCGTATTATGATTTTCATTTTATATCTGCAAATGCTGAGAGTTGTCACAATGGGGGTGGACTAGGGTAGTGATAACTGACATATTTGTTAGAGACCAGAGATGCTGCTAAACATCTAAAACGTACAGGTGTCGGGGTTAGGAAAGCCTATATCAAACAGCCTGAGCCAAGGCCTAGGCCAAGATGTCACTCAATTTAGTAATGAATATGGTAATTTCTAATATTGTGAGCCTGGATCACTCAGCTGTCAGTACAGACCTGGTTCTAAGCTGGAGGCCTGAAAGAGGAGTAGAGATATGCACAGTATCCAAGAGAGTGAATGAAGGCAGGTATAAAGAGAAAACTAACCAAACAATCAGCAGCACCTTCTCAAATTTTATCTACCACACAAAATACCAAAATCGAGTTCCTGGCTCCACCTTCCCATCAGTGCAGACCCTGGGAGGCAGAGGTGAAGGCTGCAGTAACTGGGTTCCCACAACATATGTGGAAGACCTGCACTGAGTTCCTAGCTCTTGATTTTGGTCCCATCCCAGTCATAACCATTGTGGGCATCTGGGGAGTGAAGCAGCAGATGTAAGCTCTGTCTGTTTCTCTGCCTCTCAAATAAATAGAAAAAACTTTTGCATGTCAACAGATCAATAAAAATCATGGGGGAAAGACTGAGACTTTTATCTAATAGGAACTCTAGACAAAATAGGATGGAGGAAATGGTTATCCTTTTTGAAGAGATAATGGCTGAAATCTTAGGAATTGAAGAAAGGCATTGAGTTTTAGATCAGAGGTTGGCTACTAAGGCCTGTGAGAGAAAATCTAGCCTGCTAATTATTATTATTATTTTTTGACAGGCAGAGTGGACAGTGAGAGAGAGAGAGACAGAGAGAAAGGTCTTCCTTTGCTGTTGGTTCACCCTCCAATGGCTGCCGCAGCCAGCATGCTGCGGCCAGCGCGCTGTGTCGATCCGAAGGCAGGAGCCAGGTACTTATCCTGGTCTCCCATGGGGTGCAGGGCCCAAGCACTTGGGCCATCCTCCACTGCACTCCCTGGCCACAGCAGAGAGCTGGCCTGGAAGAGGGGCAACCGGGACAGAATCTGGCGCCCCGACTGGGACTAGAACCCAGTGTGCTGGTGCGCAAGGCGGAGGATTAGCCTAGTGAGCCACGGCGCCAGCCCCTGCTAATTATTTTTATAAAGTTTTATTGAAGTACAGTCATGCTATTTGCTCACACACTCTCTATAGCTGCTCTCACACTACAGTTGAACAGCTGAATCACTGCAACTGACACCATGGGGCTGGCAAAGCCTAGACTATTGACCATCTGGCTGAAAAGAGAAAACATTTAAAGATCCCTGATTTACATAGATACTTGGAGTAATAAGCAGGATTAATAAAAATAAATTCACTTGTCTATGAAGCATAGCCAAGTTGTAGAACATAAAGAAATAACTTAAGGAGAATGGCAGAACTTCACTCATGAGCAGTGACAATTAGACTTGAAAACACATTTATATTAGTACAGTAAAAGTCAGAAGTCAAAGCAGTAAGTCTATAAAAGGTTGGGGAATAGTAACTATCAACTTAGAATATTTGTACTCAGCTCAATTTCAGGGTCAAAATGAAGTTTTTAGTCACGTAATGGCAACTCTCATGCAAGGCAGGTGAGAGGGAAATTGCTGCAATGACTTTCAAAGACAATTTGCTAACATTCAATACACTTGAAGTTTCCCATGCTCTATGGGAAAGATTTGTCCCAGACTGTTTGAAATATAAAACAATGGCAACAAACTAAACATTGGAGAAGAGATGAATAAATTGCAATAGAATTACACAGTAATTCAATAGATTGAACCAGGGCTACCTATATAGAGATGGAAAAGTATTGAAAACAGCAGTCATCTACAACCAACTTATATTTGACCGAGGAACTGAAACCAATCCCTGGAGCAAGGACAGTCTCTACAACAAATGGTGCTGGGAAAACTGGATTTCCACATGCAGAAGTATGAAGCAGGACCACTACCTAACACCTCACACAAAAGTCCACTCAACATGGATTAAAGATCTAAATCTATGACCTGACACCATCAAATTATTAGAGAACATTGGGGAAACCCTGCAAGACATTGGCACAGGCAAAGAGTTCTTTGAAAAAACCCCAGAGGCACAGACAATCAAAGCCAAAATGGACAAATGGGATTACATCAAATTGAGAATCTTCTGTACTGCAAAAGAAACACTCAGTTAAGCGGCAACCAATGGAATGAGAGAAATTATTTGCAAACTCTGCAACTGATAAAGGATTAATAACCAGAATCTACAAAGAGGTCAAGAAACTCCACAACAACAAAATAGACAACCCAGTTAAGAGATGGGCAAAGGAATTGATCAGGCATTTTTAAAAGAGGAAATCCAGGCTGGCACCGTGGCTCAACAGGCTAATCATCTGCCTTGTGGCGCTGGCACACCGGGTTCTAGTCCTGGTTGGGGCGTCGGATTCTGTCCCGGTTGCCCCTCTTCCAGGCCAGCTCTCTGCTGTGGCCCGGGAGTGCAGTGGAGGATGGCCCAAGTGCTTGGGCCCTGCACCCCATGGGAGACCAGGAGAAGCACCTAGCTCCTGGCTTCGGATCAGCGTGGTGCGCCGGCTGCGGCGGCCATTGGAGGGTGAACCAACGGCAAAGGAAGACCTTTCTCTCTGTCTCTCTCTCTCACTGTCCACTCTGCCTGTCAAAAAAAAATAATAAATAAATAAAAAAAGAGTTAATCCAAATGGCCAAGAGACACATGAAAATATGCGCAGGATCACTAGCTGTCAGGGAAATGCAAATCAAAACCACAATGAGATTTCACCTCACTCCAGTTAGAATGGCTTTCACACAGAAATCAACAAACAGCACATGCTGGTGAGTGTGGGGGAAAATGTACACTAGTCCACTGTTGGTGGGAACATAGACTGGTATAAAGCCTCTGTGGAAGACAGCATGGAGACTCAGAAATCTGAATACAGACCTGCCATATGACCCAGCCAACCACTGCTGGGAGTTTACCCAAGAGAAATGAAATCAGCAAGTAAAAGAGTTATCTGTACCCCCGTGTTTATTGCAGTATAATTCACAATAGCTAAGACAGAATCAACCTAAATGCCCATCAACTGAAGACTGGATAAAGAAATGTACTCTGGAGATGGCGCTGTGGCTCAAGGAGTTAATGCCCTGGCCTGAAGCACCAGCATCCCATACGGGCGCCGGTTTGAGACCCGGCTGCTCTACTTCCAACCCAGCTCTCTGGTATGGCCTGGGAAAGCCATAGTGCTTGGGCCTCTGCCCTCGCGTGGGAGACCCAGAAGAAGCTCCTGGCTCCTGGCTCCGGATCAGTGCAGTTTTGGCTGTTGCGGCCAATTGGGGAGTGAACCATTTGATGGGAGACCTCTCTCTCTCTCTGCCTCTCTCTGTGTAACTCTTTCAAATAAATAAGTAAATCTTAAAAAAAAATGTACTCTATTAAATAATACACAGTGGTTAAAAAAAAATGAAATCCAGTTGTTTGCAACGAAATGGATGAATCTGGAAAACATCAGACTTGTGGGAGGCAGAATTCGTCTCCTGCGGAAGGCGAAGCCCGCCTCCCATAATACGGCGCTGATAAGGAGTAACCAGCTTTTACACAGCTGATTCATCTTGACTACTAGAAGCCGCAGGAGCCGATTCATCCTCTCAATAGAAGAGAACGGCATGCTCGACACGTGGACAGGCGGAGCAAGGATTGGTGGAGAGGACTATAAAGGAGAAGAGAGCCGGCACGCTGGGGTGGGTTGGTTGGAGAGTTCGCGGGGAAGTTCGTTGCTTCGTTCTTTCTCATGTCTCTCTACTCATTCTTGCTTTGGGGGTTTGCTGTTTGCTTATTCTTACTTTACTATAGAAAAGACTTGTAAAAAAGGGAACAACAAGCATCCGGTCCGGTGCGGCTCCTCCCCGTGCGGAGGAGCAGCAAGACTTAGTGAAAAAAGCCAGTCCCAAAGGGACAAATACATGTTTTACAATCATTACGGTCAAGCTGTCTTCTAAGAATACTGGACAGGAAGACCTAGTGTGGAAACCCAGGGAAGACTTAAAGTCACACTCCTGTGGCCACTGCCTGCCTTCCTCTACAGAGGGGGCTGCAGGCAGCTCCCTGCTCTACCACCTTCCCCCCCCACAGTGCACTCCCCTCCTCTGTGACTTACTGCTCCGACCCATCTCCCTTCCTCCTCCCTCTCTCCCCTGTGAAGGATCACTCTCTCACCTCGCTTTCCCCGTCCTGGCTCAAAGACCTTCCAGCCAGCACCCACAGGGCTGAGCCCTTAGTCCCCCTTCTCACGTCTGCCCATCACGCCCACCTGCCACGTGAGCATGCCAAGGAGCCATGTGCCAGCCCTCTTTTTACTGGAGGCCAGAAGAGAGCAATCTTCTCCATAGGAAGAGAAGGGCCCACATGTTTCTCGTCTTCTGATTGTTAGCTAGAGAGCGGAGATGGGGTGATACGGTGAATTGGCTCTCCTTTAGGCCCTGGGAGCGGGAGAAGTCCACATGCTTTGCTTAGGAGCCATTTTTTTTTTTCTAACAAATAATGAGAAACTAGGGAGCAGACTATTAGTGCTTTAGTTCAGCTGCCCTATAGCATAAACAACTTTTATGGTACAGCTGCAAACCACTATCTTAAGTGTGCTCCAAGAAATAGCTTTTAATTAACTTAAGGAGCACAACCTGTCCCTAAGGTTTGGGCCACTTGGATTTGGTTTATTTCTATTAACTAAAAGAATAAAATGCACCTTTTCAAACAACCAAACTGCTTTTGTAAAACCTACTCTGTTATCAAAATGACATCGTCCGCAATGTTGCCTCGCGTACGTCCCTGGAATCCTCTGGGATCCCAGTTGCTCATAACAAAGTGTGGCTACGTGAGCGCCCTTCAACAAGCTCATGGAAAATGGAGTTAAGAGGTAGGTTTATTTTGGTGTTAAGACACTTGGAAATCCATGCATGGTTTTGTCATAATGTGCATTTTCCATGAACTTTTTGCAGACCTCCGTGTCGCTCCCCCTCTTCGTGGAGGAGCAACACAGGACCCTGCGCTGTTCTTTCGTCTGCTCGGCCCTCCCCGGGTTTGCTGCTGGTTCTTCCCGGGTTGGCTACTATCCCTTCCACCTCCGTGGAAGGGCAGTTCCCCCTGGCCACATTCCCCACTTCCGCAGGGGAGCGGCACACTGCCGGCCGGGTCTCTCGGGGGCTGCACGGGTGTTCCCCTTAGATGTTCCCCATAGATGTTCCTCATGCATGCCGTCTCTCTCCTCCTTTATAGTCCTCCTCCGCCAATCCCAACTCGGCTGCCCACACGCCGAGTACGCTGCTCTCCTCCAATCAGGAGCAAGTCCTACAGTTTATTAGTTGAACTGGAGGCAGCTGTGCAGAAGCTGTTTACTTCTCTCCCAGCGCCATATTGTAGGAGAGCAGATGCATAGAATAAGTCTTAATTCCAGTAACAGTCTAGTCCGAGCTGCTCCCCACAGAGGAGAGCAGATGCATAGAATAAGTCTTAATTCCAGTAACTTAGTCTAGTCCGAGCTGCTCCCCACACCTCCGGTGTGCCTGGCTTTCAAAAACTTTCTGAGCAAAGTAAGCTCATCTTCTCACTGCGTTTTCCACAAGCTTGGCAAAGTCTCCTCGTCTGCCACGCAGCTCTCTCAAGAGAGAGAGGCAAAACACACCACTTTGTTTTCTGCGAGGCACAGCTCTTCCTCTATTTTGAAGGCTAGAATCACAAAAGGGAACTCCTGAAGCCGCTGTCTCGCAGCGAGTATAATAAAGCTTCAGCAACTTCCCGAGCGCACGGAACAACGA